AAATTTTCCGGGAAAATCAGAAAGAAAAAATCTCTAATCAACAAATCAAACGAAACCCATCATCGATCTCTCCTCATTTCTCAAAACCCACAATCATCTTTTCTTCCATCACCTTAATTCATCCATAAAGTTCACACCTTTCCCAAAAAAATCCTCTGTTTTTTTCTCTCTGCTTTACTCTGTTCTGAATCTAACAAATCTCAAAAGAAAATGAAAGAGTATTGGACATCATTAGCTTCACTCCTCGGCGTATTAGCTTTCTGTCAAAGCTTAATGCAATCAATCTTCCCACCGGAGCTCCGTTTCGCCTTCCTCAAATTCTTCAACAGAATCTTCCACCTCTTCTCAACTTACTGTTACTTCGATATAACAGAGATCGACGGAGTCAACACCAACGAGCTCTACAACGCCGTTCAACTCTACCTAAGCTCATCCGTTTCAATAGCCGGAAACCGTTTAAGCCTCACGCGAGCCGTTAACTCTTCCTCAATCACATTTGGTCTCTCAAACAACGACTCAATCGTCGACACATTTAACGGCGTTACAGTCCTATGGGAACACGTCGTTACACAGCGTCAAACTCAAACTTTCGCTTGGAGACCATTACCTGAAGAGAAACGTGGATTCACTCTCCGAATCAAGAAGAAAAACAAAACCTTGATCTTAAGTTCTTACCTAGACTACATCATGGAGAGAGCTAACGAGATTCGCCGGAAAAACCAAGATCGTTTGCTTTACACGAATTCGAGAGGTGGGTCTTTGGATTCGAGAGGTCATCCATGGGAATCTGTTCCTTTTAAGCATCCAAGCACTTTCGAAACTCTTGCAATGGATCCCATTAAGAAACAAGAGATCATGGATGATCTTAAGGATTTTGCAGAAGGTCAATTGTTTTATCAGAAAACAGGTCGGGCTTGGAAAAGAGGATATCTACTTTATGGTCCTCCAGGTACTGGCAAGTCGAGTATGATTGCAGCTATGGCGAATTACCTCGGTTACGACATCTACGACCTCGAGCTAACCGAAGTTCATAGCAACTCGGAGTTGAGGAAATTGCTGATGAAAACGAGTTCTAAGTCGATTATCGTCATCGAAGACATAGATTGTTCGATCAATTTAACGAATCGGAAGAAGAATAATGCGGTTTCTCAAAAGAGCTATTACGAACCGGAAACAAGAACCGGGTCTGGTTCTGGTTCAGGAGAAGAGTCTGGTAATGGGAACACGATAACTTTGTCGGGTTTGTTGAATTTTACGGATGGGCTTTGGTCTTGTTGTGGGAGTGAGAGGATCTTTGTGTTTACGACGAATCATATAGAGAAGCTTGATCCTGCATTGCTAAGAAGTGGAAGAATGGATATGCATATATACATGAGTTACTGTAATTTCCCATCGTTGAAGATTTTGATCAAGAATTATTTGGGTTATGGGGAAGAAGATGTAAACGACGACGTTTTGAAGGAGATGGAGAGAGTGGTTGACAAGGCGGAGATGACGCCTGCTGACGTGAGCGAGGCTTTGATAAAGAATCGGAGGGATAAGGAGAAAGCGATTAGGGAGCTGTTGGATGATTTGAAGAGTAGAGGGGAGAGAAATGTGAAAGATGGGAAATTTAGGGGTCAAAGTGGGAATTTGACGGACTTGGAAATTGTTGAAGAACAAGAGAAGAGGGCTATAGATAGTCAAAATGAAGAAGAAATTGAGCTTGAGGATAATATTTGTAAGACTAGAGAAGATTAAAAATGTTGTTTTAAATTTAATTTCAAGTTTATGTAATATGTAGAACAGAAAAAATGGTGAAAAGATGTGATCTCACTTCTTTGCTCTATATGTTGGGGTTAA